GTAGAGACAAAAGTGGACGAAAGAGAGGCAAACTTGCGGCTCCACAACTATAATTATAACGTAACATAGACTATATCGATATAAAGGATATTGTCACATCTCATATCTCGTATAAAAATATATCGATATGTTTTAAAAACTCGATATATCGCCCAGCTCTACTGGAAACCATATGATTGGCATCAGCTTCATTTTTCAACATGAAAACGATCCCAAACACACTGTAAAAACATATCTGGATATTAAAAAACAAATGCACAAAAGAATGGAATGCCATCAGTCATGGATCGGCCTCCCCAGAGCCTCGACCACAACATTATTGAAGCAGTGTGTGATCATCTTAACAGAAAACAGAACAACAGACAGCCAATATCCAAAGAAGAGCTTTGAATGTCCGTCAAGGAGCCTGGAGAACTATTCCTGAAGATACTTAAAGAAATGACAAGAAAGCTGCCTCAGAGAGTTTAAGCTGTGTTGAGGATAAAGGTGGCCATACCAAATATTGACCCTCAAGCGTGTTAGAATTGTACTTACTTTATATACTTTATAAATTCCTCATATTCCATGGATGTTCTCACATAATTCAATAAACTGCTCCACCTAGTCCCCATTTTTCTTGCAAAATATAAAGAAATAAGGGGTGGCTCAAGACTTTTGCACAGTGCTGCAGCTAATTTGTTTGTTGGACTCCAAGCTTTATTCCTGATTCAAGAACTTTAAATCCTATTAATGAAGGGTTAACATTCTTTTTATTCTTTCCGCCATTGAGCTGGCACTGCGGCCTCAAACAGCTTTTTCTCAGTTAAAAACAAAATTAATCCAATGAACACCAGAATCACCATTAGCCAGTAAGCGCCATAGGTAGGACTAACAGCAATGTCATGGTGTTTGTTGAGGTTGTCAAGCTGTGCATTGCAACTTTCTTAAAGGTACATGCAATCTGAAGCATAATGTTATTGTAATTTTCAGCCACTGTAATCTGCATTCATAGTGTGCAGCTTTGTGCACATTTTTCATCAGCTATGAGTCTACATCACAGCTGCACTCCCCAAACCAGCAGTTCGCATTATTAATGCATTACATAAAGTGGGAAGACACAAATAATAATATGAGCTGGCCCATCCATAATAGTTGGTTGCACTTATAGCAGTTTAATTAGTCAAACTCTCAACTCTTGCTTCCTCCTTGCTACATTATAATCTAGTAGAGTTTACAGGAAATGCATGACATCATAAGAATTAGAAAATACCCAAGAGCACGATAAAGTCACTGTAACATGAGCCACAGACACAATACAGGTCTCCCTTGGAATATTATGGGCTGCTCATATAGTTCAGCAGGGAGGTTATTTCGAGCGTAGCCAGGAGATTGCATATACCACAAAGCTATTGAAGGCAATCATTTCACGCCTTTGGGTGTTTTAACGAGACCGCAAAGGTAAAATGATGCAAAACAAAGTGAGAGGCCGGGCTTATCTCAACATAGGTAGATAGAGAAGGAAGGGAAGATGGCAGTGTTTGTCAACGTGCTTCTGTAGGCCATCAAATATAGGAACACTGAAATACACGATTATTCCCCCCCACAATAAGCAAACCTTAAATATTGAAGCGTGAGAAAGTCTGACTTGAAAACCAAAGGGAAAAGGGAGTGGACAACAATAGACTTCCTGTGAAACCAGCTGACATCATCCTTTGGGAAAATGTGATTGGTAAACATTTAGCCCTTCCCCCTCATGGTGTCAATCTGACTAAAAGGAAGAAAAAAAAGGACGCAGTAAACCTGTGACAAATTAAGATTTCTATAGTTGATAAAAATCAAATCAAATCAATAAAAGCTAGAGAGGAAGATGAGGTTCTCTACAGTTATTGAAAAAAAAATAAATCAGTTCGCTACAAGATGGAAGTTGTTTTACATAATGCGGGTTAATGACACTTCAGGCTTTATACATCAAGTCTAAAATGGGTGCTAAATGGATTTCGCAAACACACAAACACACTTAGCCAAACTCTGTGAACCCAGTGCTGCATGAAGCTGTATGATGTTAGTGCTATGCGTGCTAACTGAGGAGATTTAATGACCTGAAGAGCAGTTTACACTCTTTTACTAATGTGGCACACAGATGAAGTTTGCTCTTACTGATATTACTGTCAGACGTGCACAGAGAGAGAGAGATGTGCAGAAGAAACACAAATCTGCTTCACTCCTTAAACGTCTTGTAACAAGGTTTTCGTAAAGATCAGAGCATTTGTGTGTGTGTGTATGTGTGGAGGGGGGAGGGGGGGGACTGACAGCACAATGAAAAGTGTATCTGTGAATTGGCAGGTGCTCGGTTCCTGGAAAGTACTGCTGAGTCATATCGGAATTCTTGCAGTAACCACACATCTCGCTTTGCTCTGTTTGACATGTCTCTCAGTACAGAGGTGAAAGAGGAAGTATCTGACTGTACTCGATGAACTGCATTTGTCAATTTGCTCTGGATTACACAAGGCGTATTCTTTAGATTTTTGCAGAAACCTTTAACCGCAGATGCAAGAAAACTGGGGGATTAACTCTGCAAACACTTGCAGAAACGTTGCTTTTTTGCAGTTTTTCCAAATTATGGTTCATTAAGGGAAAAAAAAATTAACTGATTCATCGTCACAAACCACATCATGCTTTCCAGGACTTATCGTGTGTAAATGTGGTATGCTGAACTTCTTTCAGCTGCATTGTACACTTAGTGATCTACGTTTCCCAGAATCAGTCTACCCCAGAGAAGTGTTGAAACGTGTTGTTTTCACCTGTCAATGTTCCACGTAGGTGGCGAGAACAATAGTGATACTGCTGTAAGAGCAAGACAAGGAGAAAATTATGTTCTTTTTCCAGGTATAGAAAATGTGAGTGTTGATACAAATACATGACAGTTATGCTGGTCTATGGAGGCATCAAAGGGTGGATATAAAAGTGCCATTTTTATAAGATAATTCAAAAAAACAAAACTATAACATGCTGTTTAAAAAAAAGATTAGCATGCCCTGTTTCAAAGTCTATTTTTGTTACCAAAGTTTTATGCCCCAGTATCCTGTCCCCCTCCAGTTTAACGCTCATGCATCATCTCTCCTATTATTTGGGTCAACCCACATCACTATGCCAATACAGAGCTGCAGGACATCTTTTTCAGGTTGTTTTTCAGGCTGGGTAACACAGGATGGTAGAACCTTTAGAACATCTATAGTAACACAGGACCTTGAAAAGTAAGAGCTGGGGCGCAAAGAACTCTGGGTAGAAACATATGGCACAGGACCATTTTTCATGTCTCAGTGTTGCATCAGGAAGGGCATCCAATGAAAAAACTTGGCCAAAATCAAAAACGAAGACATTTTTGGAGGCTTGAGTCCTGTTTACAATTGACATATAATTAAACTGTTAGCAGTCGGACGTACCGCCCACGGGACATTGGATGGTTTAGGGGACTAATAGGACTGCTAAGGGGTTAATAGTATTTGATAAAAAGAACATCAAACCAAGGGTCAAGTGGTAGTGTGATGATTTGGGTCTGCTTTGCTGCTTCAGGACCTGGATGGCTTGCCAGGTTATCTTTGTC